GCTCTATCCTACCCTCCCTAACCATTTCCTTGATTTGCCGATTGATTTCTTTCTGTTCACTTGGAGGAAAACACCTGGGCCGCTCCTTGATAGGATGCGCTTCGCCTGTGTTTATCCTATGTCGGACCAGGTCTGTACGGCCGATATCTGTGTCGCTCCTTGCAAAAACGTCGTGGTATGTCCGCAAGAGTTCACCTACTTTCCTATGGTACTGCCTCTCCACATCTTGGATGCTACGGTTGTACAGATCCTTAAGGTGTTCGGGGACATCTACCCTGCCCCGTCTCAGTGGGCGATGTCAGCCCATTCTCTACTTCATCATTCCCCACAGGCGTTAGGAATCCCACCATAGTACCTCGCCTCACGACACATTCCCTCTTTCCAGTGTTGAACACACGCACGGGAAGCAACTCTTCTCCTGGATTCACAAGAACACGCGCGACGATCATGCCCTTGTCCGCCACCTCACTTCGATCAGAAGGCTCTATAAGACCCAGCTGACTCCTGACGTGCTCTCCCGTCATCAACCCAGCCACTAATGCGTCATGTCCTGCGGGAACCCTCGTTGTTTCTCCTACGATTACCCTTGCACATAGGCCTCCTCCATTTAGGTCATTGCATGTTATTTTCTCCCCATTTAGTTTCAGTTCAAGAGAATGGAAGTCCAAGGAACCCTACGTTGGCAACAGAAAATCCATTCCCAGGATTCCTTCAACTTCACCTATTTTGCCGAAAACAGCCCGAACGGGACACGTCGTCCTTCCAATTTGCACATCTACCAAGGCTCTTCCGAGAGTTTCCATGTTGCTACCGTCAGCGTTACGAACTCCTGTACCTCCACTCTCCAGCTTAGGTCGTTTCTCAATGGGAATCTTGTAGTAAAACTCTGACGATAGGACGGAGTCCGTCGCACCTGTGTCCACCAAGAGGTTTGCCTTGACTCCCCTTATAAACGCCTGTACAAATAGTCCAGCGCGCGCCTTTTGGCCAACGGTAGGCTTCACATCTCTCCCATCCCTACTTGGTCGCTCGTAGTTGTCTCCGTTCTGGTGTTTCGGCCCGTCTATTTCTCCAGCTGTCCCTTTGGGCCTTGGAGCCAGCTGGCTGTCGTTTCCCGACGCCTGTCTGTCGATGTCATGTCGGACGCGCTTCCTGCACTCCCGTGCAAAATGCCCTCGGTTATTGCACTTGAAGCACACGTCTTGGGGAGTTGCCTTGCGCCTGGCAGCAATCCTCGGCCCTCTAGGCGCTTCTGGGTTTCGCTTTGACTTCATGTCCTCTAGCATTTTTGTCATCCTTTGGAGCCACTCCTTAACTTCTTGGTCACTTGCACTCTGAATAAAAGACTCCTTTACTTGACTTCTACTCTCTTCACTCTTGACCTCCTGCATAGGATCGTTAGATATCCCGTCTACTCCTCGGGCGTACTTGACTCGTCTGTCACTCCGTTGTTCCTCAATCTTAAGGAAGCTCTCTGTGCTTAAGGCGGCGCGGATGGCTTCATCAAGTGACGATGGTCTTGCCCTGAACACTCCTTCGCGGATGGCTTGCTCCCGAATTGCGTCTGAAAAATGACCCCTAGCTAGGCGATCTCGCCCGTCGTCTGTCAATTCTGGATAGGCGAGTGCCGACAGGTCACGTATGGATTGTCCCAACTCTTGCAACGTCTCCTTATCTCCTTGACGCCTGTGGCGAAGTTCCACTAGGTGATTTTCCGCCATTTGTCCGGGGCCAAATCGCTTTTCAAGGAGACATATCAGCTCTGTATAGGTAACGTCTTTGCCGCTGGAAGCGAGGTTCCCAAGCACTTTCACTGCCGCGCTTTGGAGACTTGCTGCAAGGAAAGCTTTCGCTTGACTATCGGTCCAAGCATTTGCCAGTTTACACGCCTTGAAGTGTTGCTTATACTCCCTCCAAGGGGTCTTCCCGTTGAATCGGTCTGGTAGGATGTTCGGCCACTTACTAGTACTAGTGCTCGACTCGCAGCTGCCCTTCTCCTTCGTTGTGGTTTTCTCCCTGGCGCCAAATGGATCCAGCTCGCCTCTTTCGAACTTGGCGCTATGATTCACTCGCAGAGAGACATCTTCTATTGCACTCGAGGGCGAAACTTCACTGTCACATCTGGAAGGTGTCCATCCTACAAGGTTGCTGGTATCAGCCGTAGGCGTCGATGAAGCTGGTTGCGTAGGCACTGGGGTAGGTGGAGGTGCGAATGTGTTAAATTTCCTTCTAGGTTTTGGAGTAGGTGGAATTCTTGACCGCAGAGCAGGCGCTGACATCACCGAACCCCGATGTCCAATGTTGAGTGTCTCGAGTAGTTCTTGTACTTGAAGTCTTGTACTTGAGGCTGACAGCCATGACGCCTAGGTAGGTGAAGTACTCCTTCACACTCTATCGATGATTGATGGTGACTGATGTCACTGCAACGCTAATCTCACTTCTGACAGCAAATTTGTAACGGTCCGTCGACCCTTCGTCCCTGCCTCCTACCGGGAGATGCCGCCGGACGGACGCTGACAGGATTAGGCTTTCCCGATGAGCGGTTACCGGGAAACCCGGGACGTTACTTCGTTTGGAGGAAGTATACCCCCAGGCATTGCAGTGGACCAGAGATACTCGCACTCAATCACTCTCACCCTATTAGGCTCAATAACTCACGAGAGACAATGATTAAGCCACAGTCCTTTTTATATAACTTAACAATGGTGTTTTATTGTGTGCGCCTAAACAGGCGACTCCTATATAGGCGTCTATCGCTAACTCTAACGTGGACACAACGTTGGCTGCTTATTCTAACTCTTCCTGGCCAGTTAACTCACCAACTAGTGATGTAAAGGCAGCCCGTCCGGTGGGTCCCTCGTCTGGATTAACTCGCTAGCGGATAATTAATCGCAGCGCTGTCAGACCTGCATTCAACCGACTGACGACTCACTCAAGAACTAACTAGTGTCATGCGCTTCTGCTTGTGACTCAGCTTGTGACTGACAGAGTGAGTGGGTATCGCGCGCGCGGCTGACGCACACTTTTATACCCGCGGACAGCGCGTGCAGACAGAAGCAGCGCGGAGACCACCGACGCGGGCACCAGTACCCTAGACTGGCACTATGTCCAATGTTTCGTTACAATATTAATAAGCATTCATTGCATGCAGTTCGCGCGCGCGTGCTTTTTTTAGGCCAAGGTCACTGATCTCTATATAAAGACTTGATAGCGGATATCCATACATCTTTCACACAGCAGACTTTGCATATTGACCAATTCGCCCCCGGCCTCACGAAGATGGCCGCGTATAATACGAACGTCCTACGCGTATATACGCGCGCGTTGTATCAACAGCGCGTTTTGGTCACGTACACTTATTATGATGTTCTAAAAGGGACACATTTCCGTAATGATTATTACCAAAACGCCGAAAAAGTGAACTGCAGCATTAAAAAAGTAAACATCGACGTTAGAAAAATTGTAAACCTTGGTCAGTGGTGGTGGTCAAAATATAAGTTAAGTGAAACGCGATGTAACAAAATAAATCATGCTGTCTGTAAAGGCGGCAACTTGTCCTTTGTAGATCACCAGCTGGTCTCACTGGTCTCACCAGTATGGCGTCAAATTCATTCATTGTGCGGCTCTTTATCCGCTATCCAGTTTTTATATAGAGATCAGTGGCCAAGGTACGTACCTGATGGTGCACTGAACTAATTCAAGCCCCATTGAAATAATGCTAATGACAACGCGTCGAAATTCTCACTTGAAATAGTGCACCCGTGAGGATCTCGCAAAAGTCTTCGAAGTTTCAACCGGCGATTTGGACCGAAAATACAAAAGGCTCCTGCACGTGTTTCACATGTTAATGAAACGTACACTATCCTCTACCTACTGAAACTTGCCCAATAAATTTGTTTTGTTTCACGTACCATGGGGTATATATATACTTAAGTATATTCAGTGGGGACGGGGGGGGATTAGCGTCATGATTTTGGTTTCGTACTTAGCCTTAATAATTGTTGCACTATTTTGTGTAGGGGACGTATACATATGGGGAGTACCCGTTTTAGGAGTGAGTAATTTTCGCAGACGTGTAGGGGACGTCTTTAATGGTTCACAGCTGAGAGGTCAGACAAATAATTATAATGAATCCTTTATAATATTTAAGTTAGTTTAAATGTACCACATTGCGTGAAGTGTTCTGTATCTTAATAATCAAACGAGAACGATGCTAAATGTTCTGCTTGCACTGTTGGGCCGTTCACCCTTTGTGGCAAGTGGATAAGGTCAACTCGTACAGTTGTTTGTAGCACACATTAACTTTCCGATTTTCAGGTACGTGTTTTCAGCGCCATATTCTGGTTTTATATTTTTATGGAAGATCCGTCTGTTTTACTACAAGAATATCACATGTAATTTTTTTCTATAATTTTGTTTTGTATAAAGTTATCGAAAGAAGTAGATTTCTCGGTACGTGTTTTCAGCCCCATATTTTTGTTTTTATATATTTTTTTTTTATGGGGGACCTGTTTAATATCGGGCTGAGAAGCTCAATGCGTGTAAGTTTTTTTCCTATAATTCTTTTGTAAGGTAACGAAAGAAGTATTCTTATGAGTTTTTCTAGCTTGGGAAACCGCTCTTAGTCTAATACTCTTTCGAAAGTCGAAACATTTCAAATGTTCAATGAGCGTTAGAGCTGGGGTTTGACACTGTCACTGCTTAGGTCCCATTTGTAGACATGACTGTGACAAAATTTACATGCATGTTCCCGACAGTCATGTACGGCTTCGAGCACCCGATCGTAACAGAAAACTTCACATGAGAGCAAGAAATATAAACTTTCAGATTTTGTAGTTATATTTGAGGCCGAATGACAGAGATTCACTATTTTATGCAGCCTACACCTTCCTCGGTGGTTCCCAGGTACTAGGTTTGCTCACTGACTAGACTTGCTCCAAGTCAGTAGTTGTGCATTTCCCCGCGTTGTTGCATTTTCCCGCGCACAATTTAAACGTCCCATGGGAGACCAGGGCACGTACCAGGCTGTGTACATGAACAACGAGTGTGTCATCATAACGGGCTCACCAGGTTGGGGTCGACTGATATATTGTTGGTATAAGCTGGTTAAATCTGCAATGGAAGGTTGCCTTACTATTTGGTGTATCAATACCAATTTCTATTCATTCCTTTTCAGCGATGATGCTTTTCAACATGATCCACGCACACAGAGCAAACATGTGGATGGTTCTTGGTAATGACATTATCTTTTCTTTGCCCAATACAATGCGAACAATTTATCTGAAGGATTGTTGTGTGGACGTAAACATTCTACTGTTAAATTCTCTTTCAATTAAATATCATTTCGTTGAAGCGCGTTTTGCTGGTGTAAGCTGATATGCAGGATGTGCAGGATGTATTTTTTCTTTTGAAAATTTGTTCCATTAATGGTTGTGTGGACGTAAATATTCTACTGTTTAATTATCTTTCCAATAAATATCATCTTGTTTGAAGCGCTTTTTGTAACCCAATTTGGGCGCTTTATAGGATGCAGTGTACCTTAGGTGTAGGCTGATAAACAGGAAGTATTTTTATCTTTCAAATTTGTCCCATTAATTTCCCACCATCATGATTCTTTAGAATTTTGACTTATTTATCATTTCTAACTTGATCAATTGGTATTCCCCTTTGTAGTTATTTCTGTGGTGGTTGTTCGCATCCAGGCAAGTAATAACAGGGAGGATGGAACCATCTTTCTGGAGCGAGGCAACCCTGGCATCCTGTCCTGCCCTCTCGTCGCATCCAGTCGAATCCCGCTGGATCAGATCGAAGTCATGTACTGGTACTCCCCCCGAGTACGAGATGAAAACATCTTGATCTCCTACTTCAAAGGGAACGTCGCTCCACAAAACGGCATCCCGGAGGGCGTGTATGATATCAACAGAAATTTCTTTCTTGTTATTCAGAACGTCACCGACTCAGATGAAGGGACCTACTACTGTAACGTCAAACTGAAATCAACAGGGTTACTGGATGACGAGCAAGTGAATATAAGCATCAAAGGTGAGTGGGTTGCGATTAGTAACTTGTGTTTTTCATTAGGTGAAAAAAGGCAATATTTTGTCCAACTCAGTTTTTAACAAATTTTCTGAAAGGCGGAGACAGTTCAGGATTTTTTTTTAACATGCAGACCCATTGGGGTTTAGAAGTCAAAGTTTGAAAACATTCTCTGAACTGGAGTATAGTTTTTTTTTAGCATTTTCACCAGTTGTCATCTAAAAAACATTCTAGTGACACTTTGAAGTCTGATATTCTAATTTTGTCAACAAAGCTATTTTTGTTTATATGTTGCGAAGTATCTCCTAAAGAACCGTTTCCCGACGTAACTCAATGCACTGAACGCATCTCTGAGACTGCATGCGAGGCAGAGTTACCGAACGACATCAAGAAACCAAGGTTGACCTGCATCGTAGGGGATGCCAAGCCTGCCGTGGCTCTCCGATGGCTGCTGGAGTACAGTGACGGCGACACACAACTCATCAGCGACAGGTTCACCGTAAAACCGAGTAAGCACGGGGTTAGCCTATTGAATCTGTATCCCCCCGTAAGATTGGAAATATTCTTGTATAGCATGTCTCTAAATTGAAACATCTTTGCGTGCGGTAATTTTTAATTATGTCCCAGGCTTGAGTATCTCTTTGCATTAGTCGTACTCCGTGGTAAATCCAGCCCAGTCGAGCATATATTTATTACGACATTTTTTATGCCTTTATTTATTACATTTCTTTACAAATGGTATGCCCAAACATTTAAAACTGGTTTTACATTGGGGCACTGAATTCAATATATCACTACACATATTGTACAAATACAATACACTATACAATACAATACAATACAATACAATACAATACAATACAATACAATACAATACAATACAATACAATACAATACAATACAATACAATACAATACAATACAATACAATACAATACAATACAATACAATACAATACAATACAATACAATACAATACAATACAATACAATAAAAAAGCATATGGGATTAATATAATTGTTACTTAAATATTTCAAATATTGTAAAACTATTACAACTGTACTTGTACAGTGTGAAACAGCATCGCTAACAGACTTTACTATTAAGGGATTTATGCGAAAAAAGAATTATGACATATCTCGTAACATCAAACCCGCGAAAAACCCTTTGGGGAGAAATCAACAGAAAATTCCAATCCGATTCCTAATTATTATTGGTTTGTTAACTCCGTAGATCAGCACAGATTTAGATTTGTTTAACCCTAAAAGGGCCGGGTTATTTTGACCATCTCTCAGCCGGTGGGGGGGGGGGGGCGGATTCCGCCCCCCGTAAGATCTCGGCCATCGAGCGCCGAAAAATGTTGAAACTCGGTACATGCATAGAGCAACTCTTCATAAACCTACCCAAGAAATTTCATGACTTTAGGTCAAAGAGTTTTGGAATTATGGCTAATTAATTATTCATATGTACGAATGGTAATGCTCGACAACCCAAGGTCTGATTTTTATATTTTTGTGTCAAAAGATGCGCAAGGCTTGAGGCTAAAAAGTAATAACAGCTCAGGTCGCGAAAAAAAAGGCTATCGCGGAAAAAGTCGAGGGGGCGGATTCCGCTCCCTCCCGGCCCTTTTAGGGTTAATCAGTGAAGACAGAAAAACAAATACTCACACATTTGCAGAAATATGGTTTACTAAACGTTTAACTGACGTACGGTAGTTCAGATTTGAATGAGTTTAACAGGGGCGGATCACAGCAGGGGGGGGGGGGGTTCGACAGTTTTTTGACAGCGCCTGGGGGGGGGTTGACCCCCCCCCCCCCCCCCCACCCTCTGGATCCGCGCCTCGTTAGAGAAGTCATGGTTCTCAACTGTACGTGCAAATTATTCCATACTTATTGTACCAGTTGCAGCAAAGCTGGAGGCATAACGTTTGTTTCCGTTCGCAAACAGTATCTTCTTTGGCTTGTGACATCACTGACAAGTAGGTATTTTCTAATGCATGTTCTTTGTGCTTGCCAAGATTGTGCAATTTGCGTGTATCTCAGCTATAGAGAAATAATAATAGCTCTGTTTTTTTGTGGTGTGAGTATTCGGTGAATACCTTCCAAAGCATGCTATATAGCTCCCAAAATGCATTGAATGTTGTTTGCCCGTCGTTCGCTTCGAGCTTTTTTTTTGTTGCTGTGGTAAACTTGAGCATACGCCAATACTTATATCGGTATGTAAAACATTTTCATGATTAGCAAGTTCATGCGGTGGATCCAGGAATTTTCGTTGGGGGGTTTATCTTCAAAAATATCTGAAATGTAGACAGGTTTTTTTTTCTCAGGACACTTTGCTCCGAAAATCAATAGGGGGGGGGCGGACTTGTACCAAATTCAAATCCGACGATTCACAGAATAGTGTACATATAATACCACCTAACCAAGCTGACTCCATTGGTATTTTGTGCTAAGGCGGACATTAGTGCCAGTAATTTTTTTGTGTGTCAGAGCAGGCGGGGGGGGGGGTTGCATTTGTTCCAAGGAATTTCTTGGGAAAACAATTGACAGAACTGCCGGGTTCCGGGGGGGGGGCTATCTGGAAAGATAATAACTCACAGCTAGAGAAAATATAAACTCTGCAGTTTGTGGTGTGTTTCAGGTGAATATTCGGTGAACACCTTCACCACTTCAGCATCAATCCCAATTGTAGCGAGTAGTGTGGACAGGTACATGTACAGATGTCAAGCAAACGGGGAGGCTCTGGGCGCCAGGAATGGTAGCTACGTGACGGTGACAGCCTTCTATACCCCACAAGTACCACGTGAGCCTGTGTATTTATTTCTTTGTAGGATAGCACTTGGCACCATGACCTGACGTGACCTGATTGACGCTTTTCAGGGTAAAATATGACAATTTTCTGGGTAAAATTTTGCTCAGGAAACCTTGGCAAAAAGTTATTTTGACGTAGAAAAATCTCAGGTTTTACCCTTAAAAGTATCAGGTCATTATGGGCCTGAAATAATAGCCACGTGACGGTGACTGTCAACACAGCTCCCTGCATCGCAAACACCACGTGAGCATGGAACTTTTCTCTCGACTAATTGTACCAATTTGTTTGGTAGAGCTTCTATCACTGCTCTGCGCTCCTTGAGATTTTGATTGTATATCAGTATAAGTTTGGTTAAATGTTTTGTGTGCGATGTCTTTCTAAAACAAATCCCATTGAAATGAATGGTAGCGCTGTGAACCCTTTTCTATGCTGCGTAACTGATGCCATGCATGATTTTTCATGGTCACCTTTGCTAAAGACCTTCAAGAGTGGCAGTCATTATCATACAGGTGGTTTAATTAAATCTTCATAAGGACCTTAAAGTCCCCTTTATTACGGAGCAAGACTTTTGTACGACTGAGCATCAAACACAAAGGCAGTCATCGAAATTAATGAATGCATTATAATACAGTGAGTTTTAACGAATTAAAAAAATGTATTTGCAGATTTCACATCACTTAAGCCTACCACAGCAGTAGCAGCGATGTCGAAGTTGTTGGACTTAACAACTGAGGCTGTTGACGCTCTAGATATCTCTCAAACTGAAGCGATTTGGCCCACAGACACTCCAGATGGCTCTCAACTTGCCGTGAATGCGCTTACAGCTGCTTTGTGCTTGTCATTATTTGCCATCGTTTGTTTGGTTTTTGCTGTGTGCAAGGTAAGTTGGGGCATGCAAATGATCACACAGCATTTTGTTTTGTCTTTCAAAGTTAACATTTAATTTTGATAGGAATACAAATTTATAGACTGAACTGAAGGAGCTCGCTATAACCAAGAATCAATGAACAATTAAAATGACATTTCCCATTCTCTCTTTATCTTCTAGTTGCAGAGGAATAATAACGAGAAGAGGTTCGGGAGATTTAAAGGTATTAAAACAGGCAAAAGGATTTTGAGGAAACTATTGCTCTCGTAACTTGGAAAAAGAGTTATTCCAGCTCCACACAATGCGTTATGGTAAACTGGGGATGTAAATCCCGTGAAACAATCTAAGCCCCTCTTAATGTAGAATTTAATTCCAACTAATAAATCGATTCCAACATTACGAAAATGTCAGAACTCTTCCACCTTGAAGTTAACAACACATTACAAGACGCTTTAAAAACAAAGTTGCAAACCTTTATATTGCAGGATCGAAGGAAACGTATCCGCGTCACATAAACGCTGGCCTCCAAATGGACTGCAGTGTGGATGTGTAGCTGATTTACTGCAACACGCCAATTGTTTGAAACCCCTCTTTTTGAGAAATACTGATTTAACTCATAAGTTCCCAATTATTCTCAAAAACATGTCAGATATTAGATTTGATTCTAACTTTTAATTTATTGTAGGTATATACTCTTAAGGCTTGTATATTGCCTTCAGTTTGGGGGAATGAATATCAGCAATTCTGTCTATCTAATACGGGTTTCCTGGTCTTTTTAACGATGATTTAACACGAAACGCTAATTCAATTTTTTCAAGAGCATCGTTGGGCTCCTTTGTTCTTTCCGATTTCGAATTAACAAAAATACATTTCATATTCTATGGTGTAATTTCGCGAACATATAAATTCTGATGGGTACTTGATCCGGGAAATTCGCCTCGTGTAGAGATTGGCGTTGAATTGAAAGAGCAGAATTTGTTTTCATCATTTACAGAAGCGGTCGTTCTTATTTAGTCGTTCGTGCACAAGGCTGAGGTTTAAAGGCAATTGTCTTGGATAACTTGGATAGGCGAGAACCTTTTGTAAATTTTTTGTTACTGAAATTGAAAACAACCAAGAACACCCAGTTGGGATACCTGTAACGCAAAAGGTCTTATCTTCCCTTTGAAGGTGTTTAGTGTGCATGCGTGTTTTTCCGTTTTAGAGAAATATATCTATAAACTAAGACCATTCATCACCCTTTGCCCTTTACTTAAAGGACCTGCAACACCAACCAAATGTGTAACGCATTTTTCGCCGGATTCCATGATCAATTGCCATAGATTAAGGTTATAGATTATCTTTTTTTCATTGAATAAAGAAAGCAAGGCTGAATATTATTTTATTATTATAACAAAAGTTTAAAACATTGGTAACATATTTGACCGTACAAGTTGATCTTGCAACCAATGGAATTGAATGACCGAAGTATTTAGGCCTATGAAATAAAACATAAAAAACCCGAATTTACTTTTTCAATTCATCGCGAATCTGCAGACGAGACGAATTTCCTGAAACTAGGATTGATTGATCAGAATGATACATTTGCGAATTACAGTAGACCTTAATATGAAATTTAAAAAGTACAAACGAAGGAATGAGGATAAGGGACAATGGAGGGGTCCCCGATTGTCTGTGTTTGTTTGTGTTTTTTTGTGTTGTAAATCGAGGACACAAACGTGCAACAGCATCGGTGAATCGAGGACAGGAACCAAATCGAGAACGAGTTCGATTAGAAAACGTGTACAAAACCAATGAGAGCTGTTGCGAAACAAATCGCAGTACAAACAAAGGAAAAAGGGAAGAGGAACAAAAGAAAATCCACGATTTACACCATAATAAACGTGGGTGTGTGTGTGTGGGTGTATACATTCACTGTGTGGACTTCCGAACAAAATATGTCCAAATAAATCAACGTTTTCCCTTCCTTCAAAACAGGTTGAGAGGCATGTTTGGGTAAAATGTTTATGTATGGCAGAATGAAGAGAAACACTAAAGAGAGTCATATAAAAAGGGTCGAGTTTTCACAGTGTTAGTAAAATGAGTTGTATCACAGGTTTTTCTTAACTACACGAAAATAAAAAAATGTCCACACTAGGAATGTAACGTAAATAATCGAGTGTGTTCGTGCGCTAAAGGAGTGAAATGAACATTTTCGAGAAACACTTTTTGTGCTACTTTTTTCTTCTTCTAAAATGTATGAAAACTATTTGCCTTCCTTTTTTTGTTTATTTGATTCCAAAGTGCACTTCTCTAAACATTAAAATTGTCTATTTTTTGACAACTGTGGGCGCTGTTGCCGTGATGTCATACAAGGGATGTTCACTCGAGGGATTATGTGTACAACATTTTGTGAACCCAAAATCTGTTCATTGATAACTTTTATGAGGAAGGTTTTCTCATTGGCTTACTGCCATGCTGACACAACAACAAAAATACCGAAGGAAGGCAAATTTTCAACAGCAAAATATCCAAAATTCTGTCAACTTTTTCTGCACAAACCAATTGCGAAATTGAGGTTTTTGCCTGATATGAAATCACGCTTGCTCATGAATATGAAAAAATGGGACACATAGGTGCATTTTCAAGAGTTACATAACAAAACTAAATATCAGTTTATATTCTCTTAAATTTTTGAACACTTGGTGTGCCTTGTATACTTAAAAAATGCATTCAAATTTTAGTTTATGTATTGGAGAGTGACTGTTGCATTGATTTAATATGTACTCGGTGCGTTGTTGTTAAGGTGGAACTTTTTGGCTCTTTATCTGCGTATTTTATTGTGAGGAAAAAATCAAACCATCACAATAGAATACAAATTTCTGTTCATTGATTTTGAAAGATTATTAGTTTTTGATTTTGTTTGTCTTGCCACATAAGATTTTATCATGTTTCTAGATAAACCTTTACTTTGTAATATCTTTATAGAGAGTGGCATTTCTATCATGAATTTTCATCATGAATTTTTTTATCATAAACAGGGTTCTGGACACGAAGGTTTGAATTTCAACAACAGCCCGTGTTCAACTTATATTTTAAATAAAAATATTTAAAAAATGATTAAAATAAGGATGAGGTGTGGGGGGGGGGGGGTTATCAGCTAATATTGAAACCTACTTGCAGCCTTAAAGTAAGAGCAATAAGCACTTCTGATTTTATTGAAGAAGATACCAAACATCTTATGGACAATTCCATGGTTTGATGGACATGGATAAAAAAAAGTTTGATTTTTTAACCCAGTCTCACATTTTTATTACAGATTATACATTCAAGTATGTGAAATTAACAAAGAAAACCAAATTTTATGAAACGCCTTTTTGAGAAATCATGTCGTAAAGTAAAAACTATTCTTTTAATACAAAGAAGTCTAAAAATTTGGTAATGTTTGAACTCTGATTGTTACCAATGCAATTAGAGATATTTCAATCATAACCTTATTTCTAGCCTGTGTGATTGTCTTAAACGCGGAAACGTAAAGTAATTCACAGCTGTCATTCATTTTGAAATATCAAAAAGCAGGCTTTTGATACCTTTTGAGGTCAATGTAATGTGTGTATCCAAAAACATACAAATTTTTTTTTCTCACCATTATTTCTAATGATTAATATTTTGGTATTTAAACGTTTCCTCCTTTGTTTTTATTTAAATATAATTTGGCTTAAAGTTGCTTGCTTCAAAGTTTTTGTGTAATTGGCAAGGGATGCAAAAAGGCCATTTAATAATACAAGTTTATATACAGAAATCAATGTGTCATGTTTTTGATGATTCTAGAGGGTATACAGGGTGAGTAAAACGAACATGTGCCTTTGGATAATTCGTTTTCTCCGACAAAAATGTTGTTATTTCAATGATTCGTTTTAATTTGAACCACTTACTAAGGTACATACAGGGTGTCCTGAAAATAATGGTGCATGTAATCCTCGCCATTTTCGCCAATTTATTACCAAAATTTACTGCAAATGTTTACACGATCTTCAAGGTTACAGATTTAGCTTGAGAATACCGTTTGTTTGATTAAAATTGCTTTTGTAAACCCAGAGATATGTTAAAACTACCAGTAAAGTGATTTGGTTTTAGACAAGAACTATACTGATTTTAACTGCTTCACAGAAAGTGGCACAAAATGGGTTTCTTGGCTTTGCCATTATTCAAAGCAACTTCAATGAAACAAAGGGTATTCTCAAGCTAAATCTGTAACCCTGATGTAAACATCCGCAAAAGTTTGGTTGTAAATTAGCAAAAATGGAGGGGTTTACATGCACCATTTTTTTCAGGACGCCCTGTAGTAAACTATTCCTGGCTTTCTTTTGCTTATGGGTTTTTCGTCATTAATCTGTTGGCATTTTTCTCGGAGTGTTTTTGTGGGGAGCAGTCCTACGCAGATGCAGCTTGGCAACCCGAATTGCTTGGACGACTTGTGGCGTGTTTCCAAACACAAGCACTGGTTCCACCTGTCTATTACCGCAGTTATGTCAGCTGATTCCTAGAAATCGTAAAATGTTTATTTTAAACAGTCTTTTTTTTATTGTGTTCTGAATTGTTCACACGGTTATATTTAAATATGTAATACCATACCAATATTTAGATTTTTCTGTTACTGTAAAGGGAATGTACAGCACGTTTTGGGCTTGTAGATGCTGGAAAAACCAAGAAAACCAATCATGTTTTTATAGTCTGGTTCCCTGACCCCACTTAAAACGAATAGGAGCAATTTATAGACTGGAGAAAAGTGTGAGGGCAGAGAATCAGTCTAAAAGACTTGTACCCCTTCACAGTCGTGTTATCAACTGCAAAGAAAATGTGGAATAACTAATTCGGAAAAACTAGGAGCACCTTTTGAAAAAAGCCAGTTTTCTCAAACGCTGATCGGCCGACCTGCGTTGGAGAAATACCATGAAAATGTCCAGCACACCAGGAGCCACGATTTTACAGGATGCTTTAGACTGTCATTCCCTAACAATCTAGTTAGGTATTTTGTGATAATTGGATCATTTTGTTTTGCATTATTTGCAAATGTTGTATCTTCCTTTTCAAGAAATTTTAATTGTAAACTAAAACAAAATGGTGTTTGTACTTATTTAATTAATCCCAAAACGTCTTGAATCTGAGTTGATTAATATTGTGTTGTTGATGTAGTGCTACTATTTTGACCAAGTTTCATACGATTAACATCATCCATATGTTCCATATGTGCCATCAGCTTAGCATTTTTCGCCAGAGATTATTGTGCACGCACTCTTGTTTTACTTTACTCCCAAGGACAATGCTTTGTGATTTCTTTTGTCCCAGTAATATAACACCCTCCCATAGACTAAGCACACAAACCTACCACAGAGGACCGTTTTGAACAAAAGACCCAACTCCCAAGGACTGAAAGGATCTGTTGTTCTCCAAGTTTGTGTGTCTGTCCTCGGGGGTTATGTAGAACAAGTACACTCGTACACTAGAAGAGGGTGTCAAAACTGTCAACCACAGATAATTTGCAGCAGTCCTCTGTAAGTGTGTGTACTTATATGGGAGAGTGTAAGTTACAGGAACAAAGGATCGAAACAAAACATTGTCCTCGAGAGTTTAGTAAAACAAGAGTGTTCATTCGTGTACGTGTGTCGTTTAGTTGCTTTTTAACGAAAAAGTAACTCAATAACTCGAATGCGATTGTGACTGGCGACGGTGATGAGTCACTTTTTTGTACTGGGAATGTTGCACAACCTGACAAAAATTTAAGTAGGCCTATGTATTTCCTATAATTCCTGTTTTGATTTTTAAATGTATATTGCTTTTGCTAATCAATAAAACATAGAAAGAAAAAATTGAAATGTTTCTAAGTCCAAGATTCATGTTTTATTACCATTTTTCAATGAATGACCATGACCTTCATTGAGATGTTAAGGAAAAAGTGGCGTCCCAACTGCGTTTGCAACATTCTTCTCCCTCCGCGAATACTATCGTTCATGTCAGAATTCGAAATGCCGATCTATAGAATCCACGGACGGCGGAACCGGGGGGGGGGGGGGGCAGGGGAGGGGGATTACCCAAGTGCATGCCCCTCTTGTTGTGCCTCCTCTAGCATAAATGTGCCCCTTCGAGATGAAAACAAAAATTGCCATTATCTTTCTGATAATTTGTTTTCAGTAACATTTTTCCCAAACGGTATAGAGAGTTCTTATGCGAACGAGGAATATGAAAACCAAGCCCCAAAACCTTTACAATGCGCCTCCAGGGGAAAAAAATGGTCCGGTTAAGTTATTCTTTATGATGGGACTTGCGGTTTTGCCTAAGTCAATTGAGTGTGGTAGGGTGACTGATAAGGTTTACGCACAAAACCATGGGCCAGTGAGGCTTTTGTATAGAAGACACTGTTTAATATGCTTGAAAGAGTGTACTGATGGGAGAATTATCATCATGCGTCAGACTTTTTGCTGATGACTGCATTCTGTATCGGGAAATAAAGTCTCCTGAGGACTCTAAAATCCTGCAAAAGGACATCGACCACCTAGTTACTTGGGAATCTATCTGGCAGATGGGTTTTAATCGGTCCAAATGCTTCTCCATGCGAGTGACACATAAACGGAAACCAACCTCCAACCAGTACACGATGGGTGATGATATACTTAGCGAAGTCGATCATCACACATACTTGGGAGTTGAACTTACTTCTGATATGACTTGGAATCGACACATAAACCAAATTGCAGTCAAAGCAAACAGAACCCTTGGTCTACTCAAAAGAACATTATCCAGCTGTGATAAACACCAAAGAAATAGCATATAAGGCACTTGTTCGACCACTTCTGGAATATTGTGAAGTCATATGGGACCCCCACAAATCGAACACCATCAGCGTGCTTGAAAAAGTTCAGAGACGTGCAGCCAGGTTCGTCCAGAGGGACTACAGTTACTCATCGAGCGTCACTGCAATGCTCAAAGAGCTAGGCTGGGACCCTTTGGAAGAAAGACGCAACAGAGCTCGACTATGCACTAATTCCAAGTAATATCTCCCACCTGCAAATTCATCTACCCAGTGACCAGCCAGCCACCAGACGTACTACCAGACAAACCAATAACGCATCCAGTCAAACAAAAACAACTATCTCCACTGGCTATACCCATGGACAATCCCCGAATGGAACCTCCTACCTGACGCACTAAAAACCAACCCACACTGAACGCCTTCAAAACCCAACTAGACAAGATAAATATCGGCCAACTTTCCACCCATGCGCACTTCAAAATTTAGGAATCAACCAGCACCATGACAGCGTTACCTGCACGTGATAGCCCCACCATAGGCGATTGTGCAGTAGCATACAGATACAGGTACTGCCGCTGGAACAAACTTTTGTCAGAGGGGTGCTGGAATTTATAAAGGACGGACAAAATTAATAAGAAAGCAGAGCGCAAAGCCCTAACGTCGTGCCTCAATTTGGAATATTTTCTGTGGTGCAATCTGAGGCGATTCCTGGCCACTTTCATTTGACGTTTTTAGCAAAAGTTTTTTTGAGATTATAAAGACAATTTATTTTATTATTTTGTTTAGAATTTACTGTTGCTCTTAAACGTTTAACTGTACTGAAAAGTGGAGAACCCTGTATGTTTATCTCCATGTTTTGGTTCCATTTAATTCTGGAAAAAGAATTGTATCATTACGCGTGACATCGCATATAAATATTAATGTTGCAAGGCTGCTTTCTTACATTCCGTCGTGTATGTTTTGTTTTATTTTCCGAGTCCTTACGGCGTGGGGCCACAGGGCCAGGGGCCCGCTTTAAGGCCCCAGAAAATGTTGGATTCTGGATGCACTGTGATGGAATATACTGATATAGTATACTGAAACTTATAAAACCCGAAAGGATTTTTTTTGGGGGGGGGGGGTTAAGTTAAAAGAAATGGTTCCACTGGAAGCGGATGAATTTCTGTTCATAAAAATATTCACATAGTTCTAACTCACCAAACGATGTGACTCTCGATATATTTGAAGTGTTATTTGTTTGTTACAGGAAATGGTGGCAAATATGACTAAAAGACCAAATGTATCTTTATGTTTATGATCGGTAGATGACCGAAAAGTTTGGGGCTATAGGCAATAATTTATCGGTCTACAGAGTTTTTGTGAGGAAATACTTGCAGAGGGTAAAACATGAATATTTTTTTTCTATTAAAACAAAACTACACTGGATTTGGCATAAAGCATGACCGGTTTCAATAAACCTTGCTATTTGTACAGGTTGAGTACAGAATGCTTGCAACGTCAATGCAACTTTTAAATGAAAAGAAAAACCTTCAGGGGAAAGGTATGAACAGTTGCCCCTATTGAAAGATCGAATGAAATAAAATCCTGGCAAGCATAATCAACTTTGCCACCATCTTCATGGCCGAGGTTATTGCTTTTGGGTCAAAGCTTCCATCATGGCGGAAATATCATAGACATGTCATGATTTTAGATACTGTGTGGGAAATATCCATTCTGCACTGCCTGAAGATTTAGAAAATACCTCCTCTTGATATTTTACAGTGTTTGTGCTAGACTTTCGAAGCGCCGCGCTTAGTCGCTGGAACACATTTTTGCCCTGGAGTAGGGGGTGCTGAAGCATATTCCAACACCCCAATCCAAATAGTTGCGGGTGCTGCAGCACCCACAGCACCCCCGTTCCCGTGGCATAGTATGTAGTGATGGAAGATTTTTCAAAATCCAGTTATCCCAATTTTTCAAAACCTCATTTATAACCATGAATTCACGTCACAGGAGTAATATAAAAATATATGCACTGAAGTGTACTGAGAACGTGTCACAAATATCAAATGTTAGTGTAAATTTACTTCACATGAATATAATATAAGAAAGGCAGGGTAAAAGCTTATCATGACATGTGCATAACGTTTGCAGAGTACGTTAATATTTTCACAAATAAACTATTTCATAATGCAACTTTTAGAAAAATAGAGTTTAGAGATCCATCAGCTTGAAATAAACTTCAAACAAAATGAATCAAAAATTGGAATCAGATATAGAGCTTAGCAATCAAGGATCAGTATAAAATACACTTCAATTAATAGACTATGCATTATATACAACCAATTTTCATAAATAAGTACTGGGCAATATAAGAACTTATTTTTTTTTTACAAAATTTGAGTTTAATTCTGCTGTAAAGGATAAATCTTTGTCACGTGAAAACATATATCAAAAAAATGCATGGATCTACTTTAAACCTGGTCAGATTATTTTTTTTAAAAAGAGTCCTAACATACGCAAATTTTGGGTGATAGCAGGAAAAGGAAAAGTACAGAGCTAATTTACTAATCAAATATGAGGTTAAAACAAATTTCAGTGGCTCGTTGAACTTTATAAATGCATAAGTAAAAAACAATAAATTCAGTAACATTAAACATGTTTTCCCTGATTTGTTTCTCAGTTATAAGTTTAATTGTTATTTCAGTTTCATTTCAGTAACACCACGCTTTCTACAGTAACTCTACATGTTTCAACTTGAGCTCAATTTGAGCCAAACGACCATCACAACAAATGATTTTCCAAATATTTCTGAAGTCGTCTGTCCATCACTAGGAACTGAGAAACTTCGCCAGGCTAGCCAGGGCTGCAATCAGTATGGTGTTACACACTGTGGAGGGGAATCAAAAAACCAAACATTAACAAATATTAATAAATACCTAAGACAGTTTATCCATTCATTTTGGTTGAGGCTCATCACGTGGGTGCTTTTAAACACTTTTCCCGGCACCGCTGCGTTCTGCACCACAACGCGCAGTACGGACCATCGGCGCACGCCAATCTCCACATAAGGAGATTTTTAGTTCTACTCGCGCAAGGCACATTTCATAAACATAGCTATAGAAGTATGTTTCACAAATCATGAAGTTTGAACAAAATCGTCGGAAATATTTAATTTAAAATTTATGAAAAATGAAAACAAAGGGTGATAAAGGACAGTACAAGGCTGTTTACATCAGCTAAGGCTTGTAACAAAAATTATTGACGATTTTTATCATAAATCAGATAAATCAATGTTTAATTCCAGCTGGTATATCAGTATACACGTATACTTCTCGAAAAAGGACTCGACTACCACACTAGTGCGACACCGGTGAAACAAAGCCGCTTACCCGTCATTGCTGATCCGCACTTGACATACACGTCCATCATGTGGCTACATCCCTCATGGACACCCCAGCCGTCATGCTGACACTGGTCCAAACTCGGCTCAGTCCCGTCGCAGTCAACGTTACTCAAGTAGATCGGTCCACTTCCGCTTGCGTCATCAGACACGTAGCTGACGACAGAGGAATAGCCCAGCTGGCGGCACACCACCTGTGCGTCTTCCTTGGTCCAACCTGTCTTGCAGACGGTTCCCCAGCGGCCGTCTCGGAGGATTCGCAAGAGTCCCTCTTTGCCTCTCGAGCCCAGTTGGTTGGTGAGCTCCACAGGATACTCATTGGATCCTGTTCAAGAGAAATGATAATGATACAAAGTTGGTCTCTAAAGGGAGAACTTTGTAGACAGAAAGTATCCATTTTAGCTCAAAAATGAATTTACCATGATTGAAAGACGTTGCACAAATGGTTGAATGGGGTAATGTGTTCCACACGTCAACTGATTCAGAGAAGGACTGCATGATTCTTGTATTAAGTGTTTCCACTGGCTAATGAACTGAGTGGGGTGGTAAACATTCAAATTGATGATTGAAACAAACTTTACGCAGTCTGCAAAGTGAAAAGAATGCAGCGCTTACAGAAATGAGCGATTAATCCATCTGCACATCCAAATGGTGAGTTCTTTATACACAGAGGTCAAGGAAAATGCCCATAAATTACCCAAAATGAAAATTTTCAAATAGTATTTCCTTTGTTGCAAATCTTCACTGCGAGGTGGTGATATTGGCAAAAAATCGAGCGAGGTGGTCACTGAGCGTGGCGAGGTGGGCCGCCTCACGTCTAAATGGGCAGGGGAAACCAAGGGCAGATCCAAAACACAATTTTTTGGGGGGGGGCCAAAAAAAGTGTTCCCCCAAAAAGTGGGTCTAAAAAATTACGACGTGGGGTTCGGGGCCAGCGAGGGCCCGAAAATTGTTTGGATGCTAGATGCTCTGTGGTGCGATCTGAGGCAATTTCTGACCACTTTAACAAATTTTTTTTTGAGGAAAAGATGGTGGTGTACTCATTGCCTGCCTTTATTGCGATGTCACATTAGAAAAAAAAAATTGGTTTCGTTTTTTTTTGGGGGGGGGGGGGGCATGGCCCCCTTTGGCCCCCCCCCCCCCCCGGATCCGCCCTTGGGGGAAACACTGCTTGTATCAATTAACTGGTTACATCCGTTGGCTGTTGTGACCCTGTCTATATAGCTCTAGATGGTTTTGGGTTTGCAGTAGTTATCTTTGCTGATGGCCAACTCATTTCTGAAAATCTTATACGACAGTGTGATGAGGCGGGTGTGTTGTCTCATTTCCTCGATGGAAGACCATCCGAGTTGCTTGGTGATAATGCTTGTTACACTTTCCCTTTTAGTTACCTGTGATGAACCTTGCCGCCCGTCTCTGGAGTTTCTCAAGTCTTTACTTGGTTCTTCAATGAACCGGGTTGCCGTGCTGCAGAAGCACACTGGAGATGGGGTCTGACTGGTGTTTTGTACAGTTTCTCATTGACACCCTTTATTGTTGGACTGAAATTTCCAGTGATGAAGTTCTAGATCTTGATTGCTTTTCCAGCATGCGTACCGGTCTTGTATAATGACTCTCAAGAGTCATTACTTATGACTCTCAAGAGTCAGTGACATACAATGACCCTAAAGAGTCAGTTCTTGCGGTGTTTGTGTTAAGTTGACTTATAAATTTGAGAATTCGGCCGATATATTGTATCCTTTTTGCTGCCTCACAAAAAGGGCTGTCGCCGATTAGCCCAAAGTTGAGCGCAGTGTATTGATTTGCAAAACTTACCAAGGGGCCCACTGCAGGTGACCTTTGCAACGAAATTGTGTTCTTTGTTACAGGTTCCAGAGGTGCCGTACAGGCACTCAGTAAGAGTCTGCTCATTCCCGTAGCAGCGGAGGTTGATGACGACTGGTCCTTTGCTACTCTTCTCCTCAGATACACTGAGGGCGTAGCCGTATCCCAGGGATCGGCAGAATACGTCACCTTCCCTGAGGGTCAAGTCATTCAGGCTACAAACGGCCCCTCCAAGCGCGTCGTTGACGACCGCGTCGACAAACCCGTCGTACTCCGACATACCGCCACTGAGTGTGATGCTGATCGGAGCCACAGCTGATGAAAGTAATAATGAAGTTCTTATATAGCGCATAATATGAAGAAAAAAAATACCTGTCTACGTGCTTTTGGTAGCAAACAGTAAGTGTGTCTTAATTAAGCTGTGATATAAAATGTTTCCGAGGATGGACTAATGATCTTTATTTGTCAAGGTAATTTGTTCCATTCTTCCGAAGCAGCACATTGAACTGAATGTTCGTTGATCGTAAGATTTGGTATAAGTGCTGTCCATGGAGTTGAGAAATGTTTTGAGCTTGAGCAAAGATTCCGTAATGAACGGCTCAGTTATCGTGCCTGGATGCCTTTAATTGTAGGTGTGAACTAAAATTTGAACCCCTATCAACAAAGTTTACCAGTTTAACAAACGTAATCAGTGAGGACAGATATAGGATGAAGGTGGATGGAGGGTGGGGCTGCGGCGAGGATATGGGTTGGGCCATGCTTGGAGTGATATCCAATTCATGCATGCATACTTTGTTGTATTTTCAAGTCTGTTCAACATCACCTCGTACCTGGGTGTCTTCGGCACTTGACCCCTGCACTCTTGTTGCAGTTCCTGGGAAACCAGCCAGAGTTGGGACAGCCGATGAGATTCTCGTACGTCGCAGAGGAATTGCACTGCATGCCGGACGCCAGGAAGCCATCAAACTGTTCGTAAGAACCGGATGCTGAAGCAGGATGCTCGCCAAAGTAGGACCCTCCCACTAATTCTAGGACAGGGCCATACGGGCGTTCTCGATCTGTGCAAGCGATGTGTGCATCAGCCCAGTCCCAGCCTTCGTCGCAGATGCTGTAGACAAATGTTGTATCGCCGTTCTGGAATCTGACCTCGACTCTGCCCTCAGTAGATGCATCACCATCCGCGAAAGAGACTTGTGCTCCCAGACCTGATGTATAAGGGAGAGGTTATAGACTAATAACTGGGGCGCTAGAACTCCTTTTTTGGGGGGAGGGGAAGGGGAGGGGGCTTTGTTTGACCATACCATGTTCCTCGATGGGGCAAAGGGGGAGCTTTCCTCCTCCGGAAAGAAGGGGGAGGGGAAGAAAAGGAAAAATACAGGAGAGATTCGAAGTAAATATGTTATTGTTAATTTAATCCATAGCAGTAAGAACTGCTGAAATGCCAATTTTTCCGCAACTTGGTGGTGCTTCCCCCCCCCCTTAGAAAAATAATCATGGCGACGCCCATAGTCTTGACTAATTTACTGGAGGTGTAGCGTGAATATCCGACTATATGGACTCATTGGTAGTATAGCGCATGCGTAAGTATGATAATAGCCTATTTATAGGCCTATATAATAGTATACTGACCTGTCACGTGTGAGGGATTAACCAATAATAGGGGAAAGGGGTCCGATTTTCATAGGAGTCCGATTTTCATATGACACCGGCCACGACTGTTTTATATTAAAAAGAGCGGGGCGCTCTCTCTCTCTGCGTTATGCATATTCATGATTGCCAGGGCTTTAGAGAAGAAGTTATATAACAAGGAATAATGGCGTTTGAATCGCCGACGATTGGCAGCTGATTCGTGGACTGGTTGGAAGTAGTCCTGACTTCTAATCAGGTGATCCGAGTTTGAATCTCATTGAGCGTTTTTCACTTCTCCTCATTTCACCTTTTAAGTAACTTAAGTGAGGAAGGAACATTTCTAACAAGACGTAAAGCCTATCTTGGGTTTGTGTTGTGGAGAACAAGGCATTAGATATGCATGTAATGGACCAATCAGAAGATGGGAAACGGATGTCATTTGGGAAAAAAGTTTCGCGAGCCGGCCAATCGCGGTGTTCTATAGATTGTATTGATCTATGCGCGCCTGGCCGTTGTATTTATAAAGAAAAACATGATGTTATATATTTCGTCGACCAATCACATGTTTAGTCCAGATTTGGGCCAGGAAAATGACGTCACGGCACGCTTTAGTAAAGTCGACGCCAATTGGCTCAGTGTGCGCGTTGTCGCAAAACTTTGCATTCTTAGATGCAAGGGCGGATCCAGGGGGCCAAGGGGGCCATGCCCCCCCCCCCAAAAAAAAAAACCACGAATTCATTTTTTTTAAGGTGACTTCGCAATAAAGGAAGGAAATGAGTACACCACCATCTTTTCCCTTAAGCGGGCCCCGAACCCCACGCCATAAGTTTTTGGGACACACTTTTTGGGGACCAACTTTTTTATGCTTAGATGTATCAGACGTTCGACCGGAGAGGGCTCCGTGGAGAACGAGGGATACTCAGACTACCAATGTCTGCAACTACTCGAAATCTGTTCCTCACCTCGAGTATTGACACAAGTCATCGCAACCACTCCAAGGGAGCACGCTAGAACGCTATTATTCGTCCCCGGTCCCGCCCACTGGCAGTCTAAAAGGGAACTCTCATCTCCCTGACAAGCCACATTGGAGACCCTCGCTCCTTGAGCGTGACCGATAGAGTCCTGGTCCAGGCCCCAACTACCGACGAATTCAAAACCCAGTTGGGTACACATCACGATGGACTCACGCAAACCCCAACTGCGCCCACTCGACTGAGTGGCACAAACGGGGCCCCATGATCCGAAGAAGTAGACCTCGAGCCGATCGAGATTACTCCCAGAGAGGGGTACAAGCCGGAAATCACCGTCACTCTGACCTGTGGGAAGTCGGAAAAGAAAAACACATTACAGGGTGTCTCAATATGAATCGAACCCTCATCATGGCGTCCTCTTTTTAACAGCTTTAAAAGAAGTTTTCTTGTGCGGTCACCTATACCGTTTGTTAAGAAGCTCTGGCAACACATCTTCTACAAGTCAGTTCGGGTGTCGGTCGGTGGGTCGGTGGGAAGGTCGATCCCCTCAAAATATTTATCAAAAACGAAGCCCCTACCCGACCCATACAACTGTCAGTAAAATAAACATTTGTCAAAGAAGAGCAAACAAAACACATTAAATACTTTACAACAATTGTTTGTAACTATTCCCAAAGTAGTGTGGCTTTCTGTAATGTTTTAATCTCCCTTTATTCATTTGTATTCGTTTTATTTTTTAATGTTTTTGCAACAATGATTGCTCATCCTTTTGAAAGTAATGGAAGACCTCAAAAAGAATTAACTTGTTATACTTTACTGCTCTGTCTCTGCCCTCTACTTGGTATAGCCTTTTTTCACAATTGCCAGTTTCGGTCCTTGTTCCTATTTTGCGGCAGTCAAAATTTCAGTCGCCGTGAAAAAGTGGTACATTCAATTGGCCATAACTCAATCAATATTACCTGATTTACGTTGATGAAAAGCTAGTGGGTATTCTCTATTATTTATTGCTGTATATGTAGAGAATCCTAGGGGACGGGGTGGGGTTGGGTGATGAGGTAGTACTACTACTAGTGTGGGTTGTATGACTGACTGGTGAAGAGCTCTGGGTCTGGCTAAATGGGTGATTGGGAGGGCAACACGGGCACGCAGGTCCTAGTGAACAGGTGACGCTTGAGAAGTTAGTTTCCTTGCCTCAGGCTCAATGACTGCCATTTATTCCTGCCAACCTGCCAGCCCAGCTGCCAATTCTCACTGTATGAGAATTCGGCAGTGAGGTCAAAAATACAAAGAATACAAATTACAAAAAGCACGCACATGTCAGTGTTATACAGGTATAAAATTACAATAAACGTGTACATGTAGATCTATTTCCCCAAATTAAATAAACAATCTTCGCATGAAATAAGAATTACCTCAGGCAATGCTGAACATAAAGGAGCAGGCTCACATTTACACATGCTGGCCAGGCACACTCATACACACCATCAACCACTTTCATACACACCAGTCCTCAATGAACAGGAAGAGCCATTATTTGTGGGTTATTATTCCCTAAATGTAAACCTTAGATAATCATAGTACATGTACTGGAATCTGACAATGCGCAATAAGACCCATGTTAAATTATAAATGACCATAAATACGCACGTAACGTTATACATGTACACAATTACATGGGAATATCACGTGTGCGCGCACCATGCTGTCACATTTTGCACGTGAACGCGTGTATGCCTATACTACACGCACAATGTTCGCTAAACTCTCCACAACGAGCTCACACTTTGGAGCCCAAAACCTACATTTATATCTTATCAAAACTTTACTTTAATGCCTCCAGTATTATCTATGAACACTAGCGGACAAATCCTAATGCAATATTGGGTAGCGTGCAGTTTGCAAACAAATGATATTTCAACTCAAAAATGAGCTTCAAAAGTTGACAACGTACCTGTGTGAGAATTCGGCAGTGAGGTGCCGGTCAAGGGTTACGCAAGGCACAGGTCACGTACATAATAAGGGGCGTGGCTTAACTACATGTAAACACTACGTGCATATCATACGCACACTCTACAACTCTTTCCCGCCTAGGTAGGCATCGCCCTCGATGCCTGGAGGCAACTTTCTGGCAGGAATTGGCAGTTAACGGCAAGATTAACACAATCGTCCAAATACTTTTAACACTAAATAACTCGGAACGACTTTAACAGTTATTCAAAGCTCCAGGAGCTTAACACTAGATAACATGGATAACTTTAACATTTCTTCTAAGTGAAGTAGCTTAACACTAAGTTACAGGGATCAACTTTAACAATTCTTCTAAGTGAAGTAGCTTAACACTAAGTTACAGGGATCAACTTTAACAATTCTTCTAAGTGAAGTAGCTTAACACTAAGTTACAGGGATCAACTTTAACAATTCTTCTAAGTGAAGTAGCTTAACACTAAGTTACAGGGATCAACTTTAACAATTCTTCTAAGTGAAAAAGATGTACTCTACAACTTAAGTCTATCTGGGGGCTTGTTCCGAGTGGCACGAACTGGATAGCGAGATCTGCTCGCATCATGTGTCCCGGTACCAACATCTGAAGGAATCTCCCCACAAGTAACATCTGCATCTGCCACCTCGTGGGTGGAACTAACGTCTGAGTTGGCGTTGCCAAGCAACAAGGGGAAGTCTACTGGTTCGCCATGGACTGGTGCAGTGGTCGTTGGATACAGAACATGGCCAGTCGACCTATGCAGGGATTCCTCCCCTGAAGAAGAGTCATCGTCGCTCCCACTTGTGGAAGACTGATGAGCAGGTCCCTCCAACAACCAAGGGCAATGCTTCAGGTCACTGCGATTGAGAACTTTCTCCTTGCCCAAGTGGTTCCTAACAACGTAGACTGGACCGTCCGGGAAAGGACGACGAACAACTAAGTAGGGATCCTGCTCCCAGTAGTCCTGAACCTTGGCACGACCTTTATGACTACGACAACGGACCAGGACATACTGTCCAACATCAAGGGGCCGCTCAAAAACCTTGGCAGCTCTTACAGCCTTTCTTGCTTGGATAGCTTTCTCGTTGTTTCCCCTGGCAATCCTCCTCGCCGTTTGCAAGTGTGACTGGTGGCGACGCATGTAGTCTCCCATATCACCAGCATGTAGGGCTTTCCCGCCTACGTCTGTACTCAGTGGGAAGCGTCCATTTCTCCCAAACATTAGGAAAAATGGATCCACTCCCGTTGTCGCATGTCTTGTGTTGTTATACGCATAGACCAATGCTGGCAGATATTCAGGCCACCTCTTCTTCTTGTGTTCCGGGAGTGCGGCAAGCATGTTATGCAAGGTGCGATTATATCTTTCACATTGGCCATTACCAGCAGGGTGATAAGGCGTAGTATGACTCTGCTGTATTCCGTACATCTGGCACAGACTAGATACAACCTGGGACTCGAAGTTACGCCCACGGTCAGAATGTAGGCGGAGAGGGCATCCGAAGGAGAAGAACACATTGGAGACCAAGGCCTTGGCAACTGTTGAAGCCTTCTGGTCCTTCGTGGGGATCGCCCACACATACTTGGTGAAGACGTCTGTTACCACCAAGACGTTCTCATGGCCACT